AGAACAAGATGATCCTCGTAGTCGTGAAAGGAGCGGATCCCACCGTAGATGTGGCTTCGCGCACAACGATTTGAGTTGTGTTGGGCTGGACGTGCCAGTTGACCCTTTGGTCAAGGTTTGGGGATCAAATTTCGGGGCCCGACCAATTCTACCACAGTTTTGGGGTGGAAGTGTTACTTTGTTCTACAAGGACTGTCACGGAATCACATTAGCATTCTTTCAAGGTCCCAGACCGCTGTAAATCAACTTGCCCGTCCGACCCTTCAAAGACCGGCCTGTTGCAGGGAGGCCAAGGGGCCATCGTGCAGTGGTGACGAATCCCAGGGTTCGGAGATGTGCAGAGTTTCCGGCTACTATGCTTAAAGCTTAGTAGCTGGGTAGGTTAGTCGCATGAAAGAATAAACTGAACTGGCTATGTGTTATATTTATAATCCTGCTACACCAGGGAACTTGGCAGCCAGAGACGGTAATTAAGGCTCAGGCAAGGACTTCAGGGGATGTTATGTCGTGCTTAGTCATCTAAAGTTTGAGGTCTGGGTTTCAGGCCACTAAAACCGAATTCAGGTCCTTGTTTAGCACCTGTAGCGACGTCGGTGGGTTGAACGCAGCCTGTTGCAAGCCAAGCCTTTGGCCACAAACCTTGTAACTCGCGAGGCCAGTTGCAAAACGTAAAGCCCGCATGTCCTAAGGCCTGGGCCCAAACACACCAAGGCCTACCGAACACAGCCCCGAAAAATGCAGTCACAAAAGCCGCAGAAGCAGTCAAAAGTCCGCACTTAGGTGTGTAAATCTTGCTCCCAATGCCCTGCCCTTAGCCTGCAAGTGAACTCGTCACCTGCCAGAACTAACAAAGAGAATGGATTTTTTGAAAATCAAGTTATCGTGAAACACCTAGCATGGATAAAAGGGGGACTTGAAATTTGGAGGCTATCCATGTGTTGCGGATTGTGGCGCTTTCTACATCCACCGGATCCTGGGATTGAAGGATGGGACCTAGCGTCGGCAGGTTTTCCCTTCCTGTGCTGCGACCCTTCAAGGGGTCCCAGCGGAGTGACCCAGGATGCAATGCCATAGATTCTATGACTGTGAAGGCTATTCCTGAGCACGCAACACATTGACTATTTCCTCCCTCAGCTTCTGAAGCTTTATTCGTGACGGCACATTTTCTTCATGTGGCTGTGTCTTGGGTCCCACCTGCCGCGCGCGGCACCCAAATATGTGTTGTGCCTCCCCATTTGGCTTGGACTCTTCGGGAAGGTTGAAAAAAGCTCATATGACGCCTTGTCTTGTCGTGCTGCAACATGCACGTGCCTTCTTCTGAAGGTCTGATGAAAAATCAGCGAAGGTATTGGAAAAGGCTCCGCCATCTTCATGCGAAGATAATGCTCCATTTTCCAGGCATGGATTCTTCTCGTGCCATGCTTCTCAACATGAGAAGTAGTCTGGCAGTACTTCTGCAAATTGTTTGGAACAGGCCCTACTTTGGTGATCTCGCATCTCTGGATATGTAAGACTGCGAGAGATGAGGGTTACAGAATTATGCCATCTTAGGGATCCCTACAGTCAGGATCTTAATGGCGTATTACCTGGTGGTCCGCTGGATTGAAAAACTGGCAAATGAGATCCTTTCCACTTTGGCGTGCTTCCCTGCTGCAGGCGTTTCCGCTGGTGCTGAGAGCTGCTTCAGGAATCCAACGTTGGGCATACATGCAGATCTCTAGCTGCGGCCTGTATTCCCAGTGTCCACTGACTTTGAATGAAGTTGGACTTGGAGGACAGCTTTCGATGGCCCCTCGTATGCAGAAGCAGACGAAGAAGATAAAGAAATGCGAGCTCATTTGCAAAAGTCATAGCATAGAGCCTGCCATGGCTGTGCTGCTTGCAGCGCTCCTGCTGTCGCTGGTGGCTGCAGGCAAAGTTGTGTTGTTTCATGTTGTTTTGTGTTGTTGTGTTGCTGCTGTGCCGATCAAAGGTTGCGGTCTTGCTCATGCTCATAGCGTTGGGTTTCATTGGTATTGCTGCTCCCAAAGGTTCACAAATCATTCATCGTTGCGGGGTCTTGAGTTTTTCATGGTCGCAGGTGCTAGTGTGCAGGTTTACCAGTTGCAGCAAGGACAAGTGGCAAGATCTTGGATGCCCTTTGTAACACGGCACCACATATCTCGGGCTACAAGTCAGGGATGCAGATGGCGCAAATGATGCCAGGCTTTGAACTCTGAATGACCCTGGCATGCTGTTCAGGGGCTTGGCTCAAAAGCCAACTGGAACCCCACAGCTGAGTGATACTGATGGTTCACACTCCCAAAAGCAATGCCCGCTGCTGGCAAGCAAGCAGAACCTGAGATGGAGATGGGGGACATAGGTGTTGTCTACCTAAACTGTGAGGATCTGAATCCAGAAGCAGAACAGAAGTTGGATGTTTGTTGAGATTCACCCTGATTGCAGTAAAGCCTGCACCCTTCGATGTTGCTAGCATGAGTCTCCTAGTTGCCCGTCTGGATTTTTGGGGCTTTGACGGGTCGTTCACGGCAGACTTAGGAACACAAGCAATCCAAGCTTCGGGGCCAATACTTTGTCGTAGGCATTCTTCAACAAGAAGGAGACTATAGCCCCGATGTATAGTAAGGCTGTATTTGTCACTTGGTTGGAGTTTCTGTCTACCTCCACTTAGACTTGGTTCAACCACCACAAAATCTAGTCATGGGTCCCGTAGCAGGTGCTGAGCCAGCCGTGAGGCAAGGGGCTTAGGGTTTCGGGCTTTCCCGTTCGATGAATGAAGCCGCCCCCCCAATGTAAAATTCTGCAGTTCAGCGCAGGTAGCCGGAAAGCACCTTGCGACAAAGTTTTGCAATAGGGGGAACAGGGGCAGGGTCAACATAGGTTTGGGTTCCACAGACTTGGGATGCATGCGGCGAGCTTGCAGAGCAAGTGTTTTCAGATGTTCGAAGCTTCTGGATTCGGCACTACAGTGCTGGCGGGCTTTCGGGGTGTGGGTATCAGGATTTCTGACCTGCAGGCATCCTCAAGGCTAGGGAGCCGATGTCTACTTTCCCGCAAGGAAAGAGAGGCGGTCCCGATATGGGATTTTGGTTGGACTGTGTGTAGCCCTTAGGTTTTGTATAGTAAGGATCCCTGACTTCCATAAATTATAGACTATAATCGAATCACATGCCTAAATTGGAACAGATCAGGGAGCTGATAGTGTTCTGTGTGCTTGTGTTGTGGCTATTGTAGAATCTCAACCCCCACCCTCATTTACAACCCCAACCCCTCAATCCTGACTGTGAGCTCTCAACCTGAAAGCCCAACTCTAACCATGAGCCTTGTACCGGAACCCTAAAAGCCTAGACCTTCAGATTTGCGAGTAGGGTTGATGCAGGGCCATTGGGCCAGCGCCCGCAGTCGCATGGCGCAACGCAGAGCTTTCTGCGGAGGCTGTGGTTCAGAGCCAGGAGAGTGACTCAGAGAGTGACTCGCACGATAATTTCCTGTACGATAACACTGCCTCCTATTAAGATGCAAATATACAAGTATTGCTGGCGGATCAGGATTTGGGATGATGTAAACCTCCAATAGTTTCCCTATGTTATTTGCAAACCTGGAATTTGGCAATTGCAGAAGTCATACGTCCTAGCCCGAACGCAATTCGCCCTACATTTGTTCACACCTTGAACTCCAAGCTCTGTCCTAAACCTCAACCTGCACCCTGTACTCTAGTGTGACACCCCCTTTTTGTATCGGGTCTCCCCAAGCAGTTCTTGTTTGGCTTTCGAACACAGCCTGGAAAGCTTGAGCATGAGAGCCTTTCAGCTGCCAGCATTCGTGAAGTGAATTTCAGGCGGATCAGCTTTTTGGAGGCAGTTTGTACATTCCGGATGCCAGACGTTTGTAGTAACAGCCTCCAAAGCAATTGGGATTCTTTTTCACCTGCTCGAAACTTGGCAGGGAATAGGCCCGCTCTCCAAAGCCATGATCCAAAACGCCTGCTTCCGCAGTTGCCAGCCAGCTTTGCTCGCCTCCTTGGAGCAGTGGGCTCTGTCTGCGTGACAGGTGACGACCGGGCTGGGGCCCTAGACTGGGGATCCTTCAGGGGCTTACACAACAAGACTGGTCTCCGGGAGCAACTTGTTCTTGCAATCATAGCAGCTGTTATTCAGGCTTCTGCAATATTCAGTCTGATTGCTATCCTTGCTTTGGAGGATAGTTTCTTTTCCTCTGCTGCTGGTCCTCCTGCTGCTCGTGTGTTGCTGCTCGTGTGGCTGCTCGTGTTGCCTCGTGCTACCGTTACCAAGGCCACCACCGCCAGAAAAGATACCGCCACCCCTGCTGCGTTGCTGCGCTTCTACTATTTAGCGTGGCCACCTTTCCAGACCTCAGCTTTGGCTCAACCCTGCGGTCACTTACAACTTTCAACATAGTTCTGACAATGAAGCCAACACAATTCAGAAAACCACTACTAGGATTTAGGGTTTAGGGTTTAGGGTTTAGGTTTTAGGATTCAGGGTTGAGGGCTCAGGGTTTGTGGTTTAGAGTTTAGCTTTTAGGATTTAGGGTTTAGGGCTCAGGGGTTTCGGGTATAGTGTTTAGGTTTTAGGATCTAGGGTTTAGGATTAAAGGTTTAGGGCTTGGGGTTGAGGGTTTAAGGCTTAGGTTTCAGGCTTGTAGCACTGGCAGGGCTTGTTGCAGGCTGTGGGTTGTACTTGCCTCTCCTTTATGCGTGCCTGGCTTCATCACTATACAATCCTACTGTTACAAGGCGCCCCTCCCAATCCTAACTCGGGCTGGATAAATCACAGGTAACCCACCTCAGCCATTCCACCTTTAGGCCTCAAGCACAGTGGAAGCATCTAGAACACTGGCCTTGCTAACCTTGACCCCCCCCAAATGATTCCATGGAAGACGCTTTCATGCAGAGGGGTTGTAGAAGACTAGCACAGTGATTATGGGTTGGCTCAGTGTGTAAAAAGCACCTGCTTTCCAAGACCCCATCACATGTCGAGGTGGGAAAGTCCACGCTTCTCACGGCCTGGGCGCAGAATCTCACTGGCCGTGAGGCGGGAGCAGAGCAAAGATAGCACCCGGTCATTCAAAGGGCTTCTCCAGAGTTACAGGGGGTAAAAAAAGAGGGTGCTGGGACGTTCAAGGGGTTGCTCTAGGAATTCGTTCTTTTCTCTTATGTGGGTAAAAATGAAAGATCATGATCTTTGACAACCTCGTGTGTGTCAGGGTTCGCTCTTGAACAGTTCATGGTTTTCTTTGTTCACTGCTCGAGGGGCAATCAAATGTTCAAACGAGCGCTTTAGACTTCGTCAGTAGTTTTGGATGGAGTCGCAAGCAGCTCTGCAGGATTTCACAAGATCGTATCTGGGGGTTACCGTTTCTACCTGCTTTCTGCTTTCCCAAATTCAACGTCTCTTCTGCAGACTCCTCTGTGTTAGTGTCGGCTACATGAGGAAGGTAATTAGAACACAATCTTGTGTGCAAGCAGCATCAGGGTGACCGGAGAAACGCGTGATGAAGAAATCCATCAAGTGAGAACAGTCTGTCTGGCTTCATTCAGGGCTCTTCTTGAAGCATGTCCCCCATCGGTGCACTTGACTTTAGGTCATAACAGAGCCAGGCTCCCACAGATTAGTGGCGGCTGGGTTCCTGGGACAAGCATACACAATGTTAGGCCACGTAACCCTAACCAAAACCACACTCTTGACTCTAAACCCCAATCGACGGAGACACGCCCACGCTTGCGTCCCCTTGCAGGACTTCGTGTTTCCGGCTGGTCAGACCCGCGAGTCTTTGACTAAAGGCCGCGCTAATGTTGGGTTTCGAGTATGGTGTGCAGGTGATGTGGCTTATAGGGTTCGGCGAGGGGTTAAGATCTAGTCAGAGTAGGGTTTTAGCGTTCATGATCCGAAAAGTCTACAAGGAATATGGCCTCTCGTAAGGTATAGCGGCTGAGGTGGAGCTTGAGGGCTGCAGTTCAGTATGTGGGATAAGGGTTTGAGTGGCTTGAGCGCATAAAGCTAAGGCCTCAGCAGGTACGCCTCAAGCTTTCTCAGGGAAAGGCTTCCAGCTTGCCCAAATCTTAAGGGCGCACTACAAGAAGTCTCCTGAAGTTTGCTTGGGTGTATACAAGGGGAGACCTCGTGTCTAGAAGTATTTGGAAGCTAGCTTGCGAACATCTTGACGGACTGTACTCTGGAGATGCTCTAACTTATCAAGAGCGAAGAGACTATTGAAGCACTGTGTGTTTACGACGGAAGGATCATCACAGTGTTGGAGTACATACCGGAGCGCGAGCATTGAGAAGTCCCCTACAGCATCATAACCCCTCTGCCTGCAGAGGTCTTTGGTCCGCTCTCCTCCCAGCAGAGGCCGAAGAATGGAAGCTGGGTTTGGGATCTGGAGTATCAGGTTTAGGGCGTTAGGGTTAGGGTACGTGGGATCTAGGGTGTTTTGCCTGCCATAATTTAAGGTCTTAGGGTTTTGGGTATCTCTTGTAATCAGGCTGGCCTGTGGTATTGCCAACGACATTTTCAGAGATGCCCTTCAGCAAAAGTTGGTATAGGGGTTGCCGCATAGTTTGATGTAAGGGCGGGGTTGGCAAAATTCTGGGGAGTTGCATGTTAGAGGGTGTGCTCCAAAGCTTGCACGGTTCCTGGAGTTAATTAGCGGAGCATACGGCAGGTCATCCTGCGGTACCACAGCCAATCCCCAGTCCTCATCTCGCCAGCCGTGTAGCTTCTACGGATGAAAAATCCGCAGTGCGGGTAGGGTCACTTGAAAAAAGTGTTCTTCTGAGGAAGGCATGAAAATGAAACCCCGCGCATTTCCATCGCATGGCTGCTAGCGAGCTTTACTCGCAAATCGCAGAGACAGCTTACATCCCAATTGTTTTATCCAAGACCTCAACCTTTACGCTGGCCGTTTCAAAGTGGGCATCGTTCACTGCAGCAGGGCAATTAATGGCAGGAAACAAGCCAAATCAAGAGCTCGATAGTCTGAACCAGAGCCACAATACCAATTTAAATCCTGAACCTTCAAGCGCTGAATTCAGTGCAAAAGCAAGATGCTTCCTCCACTAAACAGGACACCTCTATGACTATGGCAGGACAACACCAAGTGACAATTTTAAGCTGGAACCCTCAATCTCACATGCAAATTAATCCACAAATCGAATCCAAGCCCTGAACTCTGAACCCCTAAACTTTACCCTTGAGTCTGAGCACCTAGTCCCCGAATTGCTAAGGTAACTCCTACATGTTCCCTGCGCAGACAGTATTCCCGCAGAATCCCTAAATGCTCTGGTTATAACTCCTCCAAAGTGCAGGCCGGAACTGGCTTCAGCTTTAATCAAGTTACCCCCAGAATATTCGTGAAGGATCCACAAAGCAAAACAGGTAAACGTCTCGTCAGCAACTCAGACAAGAGCCAGATCATACCCCTTCATAGCCCGACATAGTAACCGCATTCCCTTACGTTCATAAACCAATGAACAGCCCTTGAACTCAGCTGCCAGAGCCAGGCCACCGGCCTGGAGTTCCACTTGAACCTCTGCGACTCTCAGGGCTTGAAGCAGGTAGCCGAGCTTGAGCAATGGAGGCGCGGGCTAGCAATAACAGCCACTCGCATAGTACGGATCCTAATGCCAGTCACCCCACTTGCCCCTCACAGCTTTGGGGAACAGTACTCTAGCGATTGCATATGGTATATGAAGCCCCTATCCCTTAGACTATCCCATTTTGAACAACAATCGTCACACAATCCTTTGGGAGGATTCCCTACTGATCTCCAATCTGAACCGTCAAGAACACCTCTGCAGAGCCTCTAATGACTCAGTTCCAGTGACGGGGAAGGCATCAGCCGACGCATCCTTTGAGTGACCCTGGAGTGACAATGCTGCGGGTTTAGGATTCAAGGTGTAAGGTTTGGCCGGGATTTTAGCAAGGAGGGCTCATGGTTTAGGGTGCAGGGTGTGTGACTCCAGGAGATGGGAACCTATTTGTGTTGCAGTGATGTTGCGTGAATAAACGGAGCTAGAAAAGGCTTTAGGGTCAAGGGCTCAGGCTTTTGCATTCGGAATCGGGTGACAATCCATGACTTGCTGTAGATCCTTATAACTGAAGTGTAAAGAGCTGATTAACTAGGGTTTAGGCTACGATTTAGGGCTTGGGGTCTGCGGAAGTGTCGAGACCCTGTAGAGTTTTTGTTGAGTGCTCACCCGTCCAAGGGGATGGACTGCAAAGAAGGTGTATTCCCGATGGCTTCGGCTGAACTATCTGCAGCTTTTGCGCACCCATGTCGCGGCGGGGTAATTCGTGCTCCACCCCACAGAATCAGGGAGTAGGTTGGGGCACATCTGCTATAGGAGCGTCTACTCGGCCCATGCCTCTGTGCAGGCTCTTTGCGGCGAACGTGCTGATACCGCAGGCGGCATTGGCACTCTCGTCATATCAAGGGACGGAATGATTACAGGAGTCCGTCGCATGGACTTAGGGAATGGATCGCTGTTGCCAGCCCTGTTCCCTCGTTTCCTGCCTGGCACCGGTACACGATGAACTCAGTGCTTGAGGATGAAATCAAGGACCTGTTAAATTACAATCCCAACCTAGAATACGGCGGCTGTGGAGTGCGCAGGTTCTGGAAGAAAGGTTACATGATGGCTCGAGTTTCCTGATTTTGGAATGCTTTCCACCACGGTGTTTTTGCGATATCCTGATAAAAGCTGAGGACAAGACACAAGTGACTGGAGACGAAACGAATGCCAGGATCGCCACCAAAGAGTGTACCATAAATTCTGCTCTCCACCAGCTCTGGTAGACCTTTTCCAATAACACTCAGACTCAGATCCTGAAGCGTCAAACCCAAGTAAAGCAGATGCGCAGGTCCCTCCAGAGGAAGCTATTGCAAGTAGTCTTTCTCACTTGTTCATGTCTGAAGCCTGCCAGCTATACAGTCCCCCAGTCTTCGTTTTGTTTGCCGAGTTAAGTGTAATTAGTTGCTTTCCCGGGGCTCCCAGAAACCTTGGCTGCCGAGCATGCACGCAGAGTTGCCGCTGCATCTATGCTGCTGGACATGACATGATCTGACGTGTCCGCTGAGCAGCGAGTGCCTCACCTGGTGCAGCATCCTGCAAGCAATCCTTCACCTTAACGAATCCGGCAGGAATCATTGAACTGTGCTCCAGCAACATGTATGCTTCGTAAGCGTCACTTGGACATGAAAAACTACCGCAGCACGCAGCATGCAAGTGTGACCCATGCAAAGACATGATGATTCCCTATCCGTTCGTCCTCTAGCTTGGAAGTGGCTGTTTGGCGAGTTTGGCAAGCCTTGGGGACCTAGGCCAGAAACCTGCATAATTACAAGTAGGACCAATTTGGGAGGTCTACGCGCCCAAAATGGTTTAGGGTAGCGGAGCACAGAAAACCGGAACCATCGCTTCAAGGCGTGACAAAGTTCAGCAATGATCATCCGCTAGGTGCTTACCTTTGAGCTTGATTCATTCTCCTGCAATCCTGCTCTAGTCCCAAAACTGTAATTCCTACTTAAACTTATGCCTGAGTCTTCAAGCGCTTAAACCCAAACCCGATCCTTCCAGAGGCTTTGAGGTTCTGGGAGGCTGGAGGTTTGGGAAGGTCCCGGACTTGGGGGTCCTTGGGGTTGCATTTGCTTGCATAGGAAGCCCTGACCCCCAGGAAGACCCTTGACCCTGAAGAGGTGGTCCAGGAGGGCTTCGGGTTTTTGGAGAAAAGGGGTAGGGTTTAGGGTAATCACTTTAAAAGGGGACCAGTACTGGTCTCACAGAGAACGGGGTCCGGCACCAAGCCGATCGTGGGTGCCACGTACCCGTGGCTGTGCTGAGGCAGGTCCAGGCATGTCGGCCTGAACCATCGAGGTTACGGGGTGCGCACACTATCGCGCGCTAGCGTAGCTCTATCATCCCGCCCCAACCACCCAAGCTATTCTCAATTAGGGTTTAGGGTTCCTACCCCCCAAACCCCCTGCCAAAGGGGGCTTACTTACCAGTCTTTGTGTACTTGCGGAAATACGAGTATATGGATTTAGAGGCGCCGCTCGATTAGACATCTTGAAAGAAGCGAGAGCAGGAGGCCTGCCAAGGCGTGGGTCACTCGCGGCCTGGCGCCGCTCGCTCCATGCACGTGGTGTCGATCAAACCGAATTCGCGCAGAGGCATGGGTAGCGTGCTGCCGCACGCTGTCGAAATCTAAGCTTCTCGGCTTTGCAGGGAGGTGTGGGTAGTGTGCCGCCGCATGCCGCTGAAGGTACCATTGTGGACAATGTAAGCTGTGAGGCGTGGAAACGCGAGTAGCATGCTGCAAGTATCTGTCTCGCGGGGAGGCGTGGGTAGCGTGCTGCCGCACGTCGCCGAAGTTAATGAGACGTCTTGGCTTGCAGGACTTATGAGTAATCTGTCGCCGCGCATTGACGAAAGCGGCAAAGGCCCCTGAAAGCCCTAGAGTCTAGATGAGAGGCCTTGGAAGCCCTTGCCTTCAGTAAGCCAGGAAGACCTTTGAGAGGGTCGTGAGGAGGCAGGAACTTGAAGAATGGCCAAGGCCCCTGCAGGGTTTTTGGAGGCCCTGGGAGGCCCTGGGAAGACCCCATGGGGGCCCTTGGACCTTGGGAATGTTCTAGGAGGCCTCCGGGAAAGCAAAACCCTAAACATGCTATCAGCCTGCAACCCAAAGACGCCCCCTTCGCCATGACCCTGCAGCCCCAAGCCCCTACGGATCCCAATCTTGTGCGCTGACGGCAGACGTTGGTTTACATGACCATCAACGTCGTGCAGAACGATCAGCTGCGTGACCTCGCTCGGATGGCTCACCAGGCACCAGAGTTTGCCCCATTTCGTTTACTCACAGTCCCATCAAGTATGTGCAGTTTTGCTTGCTAGCTGCTAGCAAAGAACTGCACCACTGTCTTGTGTGCTATGGTGGTGAATGCTGCTATTTTGGGCTCTGAGACTTACAGGGCTTCCTATTCACATCGGTAGCAGGTAGGTATGAGGGGCTCTCCTAGCCTTGGCACAGCCCAGTTGTCTCCAACAAGCTGTGCATGAAACGCGGTAAATAAGTGTTTTGGAGGCACCTTCCTGCGTAATATAGCCCAGTGAAGCCCGCAACTGCCGTCAGTCGGGTACAAGTCCACAAGCCCCCTTAAATCGTGAGTAAGGAGGCTGGAGGATGTAGCGTTACGGCCTCGATGTTTCCTCATCGCTTGGGAGAAAAGAGGAACCACGATAAGAATGACCGATGTATGCCTGAAGCCCAGAGTGTGTGTGTGTGTGTGTGTAGTCTTAGTTGTAGCCAATCCTTTACTGAGTGGACTGGCTTTACCTCCAGATGATTTACAAGTTCACGTGACAAGATCCGGTTCGTTCTCAGTATCAGTACCGGGCCTTTTGTGGAGACTCAGCCCAAATACAACAAGTCAGCATTCGCCAGCATTCGCCAGTTCCAGCTCCTGGCGAATAGCTCTACGTCAGCCTTCACTCGCTTCGGCCGCGTGCTGTCACCACACCTGATTGTGGTCGTGCAGGGCCAAGAGCTAGGATATATTTCAATCCAGCGCTTGATCCTTCAAGATCTTCGCATGCTCGTACAGGTTGAATTTCTAGAGAGCTTCCAATCTTCAGCACGTGAATGGTGAGTACATGTTCATCTGCACTAGGCAGAGTCTTAGTCTTGTTAGCTCTTTGCGCTATAGCGTCTTGGCACATGGCGGGGTGTTTTGTGTTGTGGTCTTCCCGGCCTGTCTTGAATGTAGGAGCCTGGGTGTCAGCCATCAGAAGGTTGTTTTTGTTTGTGGGTCTGGCTGTCAAATCTTGTTTTGGACGCTGCCCATCCCACCCTCCCCGAGGCACCTGCAGGGTTGAATCTCGTAGTCATCTGTATACACGTGAGCGGAATACCGAAGGGACAGGCCCTCCAGGGATACTACCTCAAGGACAGGAGAATGGCGACAGCTCGAACTCTAAACCCCGAACCCTGAACTCGTCAAGCCATACTGTCCTGTAGTCCCACGCTCGTGACACCAAGATCGACTCGTATAGATCCTAACCCGTACAGCAGGCAACAGTTTCAGGTGATAAAGCTCGGCATCTGCTCCCTTCCAGGTGCGTGAGGAGAGCGATCTTGACGGAGAACCAGAGCAGGCGGGCACCCTTGTCTGCGGGGACGTGGACTTACTTCGGGGTTTAGGTTTTGGTTCTAGCGCTAAGGTGTAGGGTGTGTAGGGGTGGGGGGTGGGGGGTGGGGAGTTGGACTTTAGGCCCGAAGGTTTCTTGTTGACACATGTTGCCACTAGTGTAACATATTTGGAGTTCCTATTACCATTGTATCATCACTTCTCAACTACGCTATCCTCAAGCTTTCAGTGTGTCAGCGGATATTGACAAAGCCCCTCGCGCTGAGAAGGGGGTATCGTATGGACGGGAATACTCCGGTCCTCAGAGGATAGGCGTTGCGTAACCACAGATTCCAGTAGCCCTACTCGCCCACCACCTCTGTCAAATAACTCTGCTCTGCAAACTGTTTCTGTCCGTGTGATTCCTATGTGTTCCTGTATAACATGAGCTTTATCATCAAAGATGAGCCTGCGTCATGAGGGGCCTCCATGTTTAGTCTAGTCATATCCAGATCTCACTGAGAGCCTCCTAAACATAAGCACATACACCCGCTAAGCCCCCCCCTAAACATAAGCACATACACCCGCTAAGCCCTTCCAGGACGGCAGGAACCTTTCAGCGCACCTGGAGCAGGCATACGCCATCTCATGCGAGTGTACACGGGGGCTGTCAAACGTATGGGCGTTTTGGGAGTAGCGGGAATCCTCGTGTTAGGAAAGGCATGTTGATAGCGCCATAGTCATTGGAGTTTTGATTGCAGTTCCAGGGTGATCACATATATATATATACATATATGTTCGGGGGTTCTTCTTGGAGGACGAACCTTGCCTCCTGCCCTGCATGGGATTGCTCACGGGATAAAGCTTCTAGCATTTAGGGCTTATTGCTTATTGTTCTTCGTAAGTATAGAGAAATTTGTGAACGTGATTAAAGCGGTGTTTGGGAAGCTGCTTATGTTCTCTTGTTCTACGGGCCTTCTCAGAGACTACAGTACCCTACGTCGTCTTGGGACTGAGCTACAGTCCCTGGACTAGGCCCACAATCCTTTGCAAATCAACGTGAGCAATTACTTTACAGTAAGGACCCCGAGGATAAAACGAGAAGGAGGCTGTCCTTTCTGTCAACCCATAGCCCAAATATGACTTTACCGTTAGTCCCCGAAAACCGATCATACTTTTGAGACCACGTAAGGCCGCGATCGCCCTAGGGATTCTTATGTAGCCCCGGATCCTTGTACAGCCCCAAAATCTTTACACCCCAAAAAAGCGGGAGCCATAGATTT